GGCGCGGAGCCGGGGACGGGGGATGATAGCTCTGCTAGGAGGAGTAGCGGGGGTAGGGTTCGTATGGGGCGGAAGGTGGGCATGGGCAGTGCAGATGGGGGTGGAGGTTGTTTTGTCCCTTGGGCTGGGGCTGGGGCTGGGGCCGGGGGAGTGGGAGGGGGAGGAGGAGTGGGAGGAAGAGTGGGAGGGGGGAAGGGGACAAATAGAGGGAGAGGGAGGGGAAGGGGAAGGGGAAGGGGAAGGGAAGAGCGAGGGAGAGGGAGAGGAGATAGATACGCACGAGCTGAGGGGCTGACGATGACGAGCGTGCCTGTCACTGAGTTTGTTTTTTTTTGTAAAGAATGGACTGATGTAGTGCAAGATCCGTTGTCACCGCTGAAAGTTGGGCGTGCTGGTGCTCTGCTTATACATACGATACTGATGCGAATCCTGATGGGATGGAGAGTGAGCACTTTGCGGGCACTTGGCGGACTGATGATTTCCGCCTGGGTCGTGTTGAGGAAGAGAGCGTGGGCGCTTTCGGCCGTCTCTCCAGGACTGAGGATGAGCGGCATATAGTAAATATCTTATGTCTGACAGGGGGAATAATGATGGATAGCGTACATAAATAAACCCGAAAAGCGAGTAAAAGTCGCAAAATAGTAAAGAGAGAAAGGGCGAAGGACGACATCGCATCAACATCAGCACCAAGCTACAGTGTATCACTGAGCATCCTGATACCCCGGCGGGGCTTCCTCGTGCTCTCCATGCCGGAGCCGTTGGTTCAGCACTTGCACCAAGTCGACCGTAGCCGCGTTCTCCAACAACGCCGGGCTCGCTACGGCTCCCGGTGCCTGTACTCTAGATCTGCCCGGCGCGGTTAGCGCGTCCGACGTGGCCGTGCTATCTGATAACGTTCCGGGTTGGGGGGAGGACGCTTGCACGGTGTTGAAATTTGACGATGAGGGCGTGAGCGGTGGTCGGGCACTGGCATCTGGTACGCCTCGCCGGTCGAAGTACCCTCGCCCGGCCTTGGGATCCGACATCGACATCGGGCTGTAGGGTACGGCAGGCCTGAGCCCTGCGGGGGAGACGAGGTCAGTGACTTCCGACATTGCCGGGAACGGTTCTGCATCCGTTGCATTTTGTGTGCGACGCCGCCAATAGAGAAAGAAGAGGACGAGCAGCATGAGGATCCCCAGACCGCCGATGGCGCCTACTACAGCGCCGGCTATCGTACCGCCGGAAATTGAGGAACCGTTCCCATTTTGATCGGGAGAGGCGGTTGGACTGGTTAGTGCTGAAGTCGTACCTGAATTGCTTGAGCCAGCACTTTCTAACTGCAGCAAGATAATGGCATCCAGGTTTACACAATACGTGGGATTCGTTATGTTCAAATCTGGGCCATTGGGTTGATTCGGATCGTAGTCGGCAATAGCCAAAGTGTAGCTTGTGGTGGGATCTAGTCCTCCAGCCATGAACAGAACCTGCTTGTACGAATGCCAGAATGTGCTGGCATTGTATACGCTCTGTACTCCCTGGAAAGAGATCGTATACCCGAAGGTATTGGTGTCCGGACTGCCGATCAGCATGACGGCTGTTGTTTCTGCTTTCGATCAGCACCTCACTGTCTTGGAGCAGTGGATCACTGACCATTGAAAGTATATGCGGCCGAGACGGAGCTGTCGTACGCGCATGCATAAGAATGCGTCTCGTTATAGTCCGACGGATCCTCCGATTGCAACCATGGCCAGGGCTGGTAGTTCCAACCTGGATTCCTGTCATCGATTGTCACCGGGTTGACTGGTGCGGCACTGGACGCCTTTAATTAGTTAAGTCTCCTCGTAGGAAAGTTCAGACCTACCCCGGAGCACCAGCGCTGATCTGTGTGATCCCACCATAGAAATCGAAGCTCGAGTCCGCGTTGGGAAGCGAGATGTTGAGTCCCACAGTGAGTGATCTGTAGGCCAACCCCCCGGCACCGACAATGGTCTTCGCTTGGGGCCATTCAGAGCAGGTACTGTCCGCGGGCAGACCCGAAGTCGCGATCGTATGTCCGTTGACAGTCAAGTTGAACGTGACACCGGTATCGTGTGTCAGACATAACCAGTATCCCGTGCCTTCAAATTGGATCTCAAAACTTGCTCCGTTGTATTGAGTGTGGCGGAATGGAGTTCCTATGCCGTCGTTACCAGCAACATATACAGTTGCGCCAGAATAGGAGGCGTTCCACCCCTGGAACGAGTATTATTAGCTATCAGACTCTGTTCCTTCCACCGAGTCCGACCTGTGTGGCAAGTCCATCTCGCTGCGGAGCGTAGCTGGTCGGGATCAGCGACGATCTTATCCAAACTGAGTCACGAACTCACTTCCACAATGGACTTTCGGACCCAAGAGTGACGTTATAAGGGACGATTGAGGAAGACATGCTTTCGAGAGCTCCACGACGTAGGAATTGACAACGAGGTCACGGACTGGCCTGGCTTAAGGAGTTTTCATACACATGCGCGGTCTCCTTGCAGTCTGAGCTTTCCGCAAGGAACACGGAGACACCGTGCCCAAGCCTCGCACATTCCGGTTTCAGCAGTTTTTTCAGTAACCCCGACCGATGTTTATGAGGTGACAGGTTGAGAAGACTGGATCTAGCGCCCAACCCGTCCCCGTGCATAGCTTTGGTATTACCTTGGGCGTTTCGTGCCTTCCCATCAACGGAGACAACGCCTCTTCTTTTTTCGCGAGGGCACACTAAGCCTTATTAGCATCGAGGGGCGATGATTACCATAAGGCGTCAAGCGGCTATCATCCACCATCGGGGCACACCGTTTGCAGGCGTTTTCCCAAGGCAACTTCTTCGCACTTTCCTTATGGAAAAAGACCCTTTTAATCCGTAAGGCCGCACGGAGCAGGCAGCTATGTATCCTGCAGCTATAGTCTGCGCGTACTAGTACTGTTATCCCTCGTATGTTGTTCTCCAAAATATGCGTGGCATGAACACTTTCTTGCGGAACAGTCTGATGGATGGAGCACGCCAAGACAGTGAAGCGCAGTGTTAATATCACTAATAGTACTAGTGGTCGCTGCCACCTGAGAGGCCGCACCATGACCGTTGACAATATCACAATCAGGAGTGCCCAGGTACAATGGATAACCTCATGCGAGGGAACAAATTCTTGGCTACCACTACATGATACCAGAACAAGCAAAATGCAACAAGTAAAATTAAGGTGAGACTGAGATATCTTACGTAGCCTAACTCAATTTTCATACTGGGGAGGCTCCTCGAGGTTGTCGGCTTGGTCGACACGTAACCTTTGATTTAAGATGGCTATCAAATCGTCGGTAGGTGCATTCTGCAAAACTTCCTGTGCATGTCGAGTGTCGTTGCCTCCTGAAGTTTCACCTCCACGCCGTTGCCGAATCTGAGTGTGACCTGCCTTCTCGTATGGCGATCGTGTTGACATCTCCGCCTTGAAGCTCGATGATGACGTCGCCCCGATAACAACGGATATTGGTGCATCAGAAGCGAATGCTGATGTTAGCGGGTCTGAAGGGGGAGAAACGAAAGGAATCGGGTCCGGTGGTTGAACCATATTGGGACCATTCACCGAACCATCGATTGAACTGCTGTAAACCGCATGACCGGTGTTTTCCGTAGAAAACTGAGCGGGTTTCCGCAGCCGTAACAGTAAGAAGATGACGCAAGCGATAATAGATCACAATGATGCCGATTGCGATGCCAGCGATAGCACCACTAGATAGGCCGTTGGAACCGGACGGACCAGTAGTCCCGAGACCGGCACCATTGGACGTCGATGTTGATGTTGCGTTGCTGCACACAGCGTGAGAGAACGGAAGCTAGAAAGAAGATTCCGACATACGCTGGAAGCAACACTGGAACTATAACAGCCGCGTCCAAGTTAACACACCAAAAACCGCTGGTGTTCAGGCCTGGTGGCCCAGTCGGTTGATTGACATCAAAGTCCAGTAGTGTCAAGTTGTATGTCTGCGTTGGGTCCAGTCCACCCGCGAAAAACATGACCTGTCGCTGCGCCCACCAGAAATTGGTGGCATTATAGACTGTCTCAGCGTTGTTGAACTGGACCGTGTAGCCAAATGAATTAGACGCCGGAGATCCAATGATCTCGATGATGGAGGAACCTACAGATCATCGTCAATTGAGTACTTGTGGCAAGCGGAAACAGATTCTACCGCTGAACTGGATCGCCGCAGTGACCTGCTCGAGGTAGTTGCAAGCATAAGAATGAGTGCCGCCGTAATCCCCTAGAGCTGACGCTTCCAACCATACGAATGGCTGATATTCCCATCGATTACTAGTATTATCAATGAACTGTTCTGGCTGGATGGTTGTGCTGACATTGAAAATCAGCACAGAAGTACAGTCGGCCAGTCTGGTTACTTACCCTGCCGGGCCGGCACTCAGAGTCACCACACCCCCATAGAAATCAAGGCTCTGTCCCGAACCAGTTATGGCCACACTGAACGTCGCAGTATGTGATCCGTAGCTGAGACCATCGGCGATGAGGAGAACTTCCGATCCCCAAAAGTGGAACATGCTAGGTCTGTGGACGATCCGAGCTTTTGAACAGGTTGGTTGTCTACCGTGAATTGGTATCCGGATCGATTATTCAAGGTGAAACAAAGATACAGAGCCGTTCCTTCGACTGAAATAAGCGCCCGGACATCCACGCAAATGATTGCAGGCTTACCTTCAAACTGGAGTGAAAACCCGGCTCCATTCAGCGCAGTGCGTCGATAAGGCGTTCCTTGACCAGTCGCGCCTTCATTTCCCGCCCATACCGGGGAATTAGTATAGGAAGAGTTCCACCCCTACATTTGAGGACATAATGAAACAGTGTCACTGATCGCAATATGGGAGGATCTACCGCGGTAACAAGTCCTTCGCGGGCAGGGTATACCTGACAGAGAGTTAGGCGAAATAACACGAGATAGGATAGTACTCTTTACTGAAAGGTTGGGCTTTCTTCTCCCAGAGTAAGATTGTACGCCGTGACCATGGTAGAAACTGGGACAGTGACGGAGGATATCCATTCCCGTCTAGATGTGGTGCCAAAGGGTCACCTCATCCGGGCTGTGCGCGCATATTCAAACTGCTACTATAGGGTAACACTGCTCAGCCTTCGCTTGATGCGGGGGCAAGCACATATTCCGGATGCGTGTTTCGCACGGCCCGGCATGTAACGGTCACGGCTGGCGGCATATCACAATATTGAATATTGAGGTCAATAAAGAATTCGAAATATATCTGCCCCTTGTCTCATGGGCATGGTTGGGTCAATTGATCTGACCATGGCTCTGAAATGCGTCTCGTCCAAGACACCGATCCAAATAGAGTTCTTGAGTCGCCTGCATATCTGGCAGCACCATCAAACCGAAAAGGCACTTGTCCACTGCCAGAGCTCCACCCGTGACAGAATTTGGTAGGAACCTTCACCATAGCCGTATTCTAATTTCGCCCGCTCTTCCCTTGAACCACAAAAACATCAGAGATCAACACAGTGTTAATCCCACCAAACTACAGGCCGAAGCATGGGTCTTCAAGACAATATTGTTGCCGAAAGCAGTGAAGGATGTTGGTAAGGGCCTCGGGAAGGGCCGCCGGGTAACGGTCGTGGCTACAAAGTGTGAACCCTAGCTCCGTAGCTCAGACTAGAAGGTGGACGAATCACGTGCAATTTGTACATGTATACCTCACCCCCCCCTCGCTGTTTCCCCGCCATCTGCGTGCCCCCGAGGACTGTTCATATTTCAAGTCCATCCCATGCCTCTCGCGACTCTCGTCCTTCCGGGCCCGCAAGATGCTGCTTCTGTTATCCCTGCAGTGGGCGACAAGTGTCGCTGCCAGGCGTGCGGTTATAGCACGTGCCGCTGCGTACAGCAGGCTTCATAATCACATAGGACATTAATATCAGGATCTTCCCAACCTTTTGAATTTTGCTTTAGCTCTCGTTGAGCATTTCCAGACGCTCAATCCTACCCCACATTCTCACAAACCTCGTACTGAGCACGGCCGAGTGAACAAATCCTTGGCTAACATTACAACAAGACCGAAAAAATGCAGCAACTAGAAATGAGAGAGAAACAAGGTGACATTTAGATATTTTATGCAGTCCGACTCGATCAACCATACTGGGGAGGTTCCTCGATGTTATCCGCCTGTTCCCTCCGTAATCTCTGGTTTAAGATAGTTACCAAATCAACCGTAGGTGCATTCTGCAGAACCTCATTAGTGAGTCGAGGGTCGCTGCTCCCCGAGGTTCCGCCTTCCGACGTCGTACCACGGCCGTGCCGAACCTGGGTATAAGGTACGTTCGGATATGGCGATCGTGTTGTCTTCTCCGTTCTGAAGCTCGATGATGATGTCGCCCCACCAAGGAGCGATATCGGTGCATCAGAAGTGAAAGCTGATGTTGGCAGGTCTGAAGGGGGAGGAACGAAGGGAGTTGGCTCTGGTGGTTGAGGTGTACCGAAAGAGCGGCTGAATACTGCGTGACCGTTGCTTTCCATGTGAGACCGGGCGCGTTTCCGCATTCGCGATAGCAGGAAAATGACGAAGGCAACAATGGCCAGAATCACAACGATGCCAATCACAATGCCAGCAATGGCACCACCCGATAGCCCGCTGGAACCGGAAGAGCCAGTACCTCCGGTGTCGGCATTACTAGACTGAGTGGCACCGCCAATACCCGTTATCGATGACGATGACGTAGTCCTGCACACAACGTAAGAGAGTGAGCCGGAAGAAATATATCAACATACGTGGTGGACGAGTCTGGAAGAGTGCCTTGAACCAGAACGGCCGCGTCCAAGTTAACACAATAAGTACCGCTGGTGTTCAAGCCTGGTGGCCCATTCGGTTGGTTAGCATCGTAGTCGATAAGTGTCAGACTGTACGTGTGCGTTGGCTCCAGCCCACCCGCAAAGTACATGACCTGTTGATTAGCCCACCAATAATTGGTGGAATTATACACTGTCTCAACGTTGTTGAACTGGATGGTGTAGCCGAATGAATTAGGCGCCGGAGATCCGATGAGCATGACGATGGAAGAACCTAGGCATTATCGTCAAGCGGGTACTAGGGCCAACTGAATACAAGCACCGTTGAACTGGATTGTCGCCGTGACCTCAGCAAGGTAATTGCAAGCATATGAATGAGTGCCGTTATATTCACCCGTGGACGACCCTTGTGGCCACGGCCAAGGTTGATATTGCCATACAGGACTGCGATCATCAATGTACTGGCGTGGTTGTACCATTGTGCTGACAATCGACTCAGATCAGCACACGAGCATGCTTGGGCAGTCTGATTACTCACCCCTGTGGGCCCGCACTCAGAGTCACAACACCTCCATAGAAATCTAAACTCTCTCCTGTGCCAGACATGGTTGTATTAAATGTCGCTATGTGTGAACCATAGGGAAGCTTATTGGCATAGAGGAGAGTTTGTGCTCCTGGAAACGTGGAACATGCCAAATCACTGGATGGTGCAACCGTGGTATAAGCCACGTTATCAATCGTCAAGTGGTATACCGCTTGATTATTTGAGGTGAGACAGAGGTACAGTGCCGTTCCTTAACTCTGGTGTAAGCGCACCGCTGTCTCTACAAATCACTGAAGACTTACCTTCGAAGTTGAGTGTAAATCCGGCCCCGTTCAGTTCGGTGTGGCGATAAGGCGTGCCAATACCAGTGGTACCTTCATTGCCGAGCCATACTGTAGTACCACTGTAGGAGGAGTTCCAGCCCTACTTAGAATAAGACATTGTCGCTGGTCAAGATGCAAGGGAATTTACCGCAGTAGCCGGCCCATCACGGACAGGGCTATACCTAAGAGAGAGTGAGGGCGAGTAAGACCAGATTATGGATCATGCTTGCTGGAATGTTGGACTCTCTTCTCCTAAAGTGATGTTGTACGGTTGGATCGACATGATCGCAACAGTGAAAGCGCAAATTCCAGCTGTCCACTATCTGCGGGAGTGGAGAGGTCCAAGGAGAGTTCCCTGCCAGCTAACCTGTGCGCACCGCCCGAGAATCCATGTTCCTGTTGCAACCCGTTTTGACTCATGATCAGCGGCCTCATGAGCAATGTTGGCAAAGGAGGTTTGTGATCCGACACTCTATCTTCGTCTGATGGAGCATGTGTTCCTGGTTCTCGCGCACGAGGCGCCACGGGAGAGAGGGTGCAACCTTGACATCGCCTAGCGCCGCCTTCGGAATAACAACTTAAACGGCGCTGGAGTGGATGTTCTGTCTAGGACACTGCCAGAGCTCAAGCAAGAAGGTGATTGCGCATTAGCGGTTGTCTAGACAAGTTGCACCATGACAATGAGGGATCATCAACAACGTCAATGTGTTCTTACCAGACCGGAGGCTTTTGACATGAGATCCCTTCAGGAATGTAACACGTGTTGATGCGAACAAATGCCATTATTGGAAGATCTGTCCCATCAGAGGCGGGTACATCTACGAATGCGGGCAAATCCGGTAATATTGAATTGCGCTAGATTACAAATTACAAATCACGACATCCGCGGATGAAAATATTATGATACGAAATGTAAGTATTGTCCTTGCGTCCATCACGGTGCATGTTCGCCGTACATGGGCGGCTCTTCCCCAACTTCTGGCGCCGCTCTGCTAAGCCTCGAATTGAGAATGCTGACGAGGTCCACCGTTGCTGCATTCTGCAGCATCTCTGCTGTCACAGTCGTTGCCTCAGACGGAGATGGAGAAGTAGGCAACCCACTGGAGCTGCCTTCTAGTAAGTGGGTATCTGAGGACGATGAGGTATGGGTCATTCGCCTTGCACTCTTCTCGTTCTTCCATCTTGTACTTGCAGCGGGTGGCGGTCCGCCAGATAAAGGCCGCGTGGGAAGAGGCGGTATGACGAAGGGTGTTGGTTCTGGCCCTGGCGTCTGGACCACATTGCGAATTTCTTGGATTTGAGGAGTTGGGGGTCGACTGCCAGCCTCGCTAAGAGCGATTTCTCGGAAGTCTCCGGATGAACTTTGTTGTCCGCGCCGCCACAGGAAGAAAACGACAAGCAATATGAGACCAATCATACCACCGACGACCGCCACTACAATCCCCACGATGGCGCCTCTCGATAGGCCACTGCTACCGTTGCTGACGCCGCCCTGAGAGCCGATAGATCCATTTGGTTGAGAACCGCCATTAGGTGATCTGGAAAACGCACCGTCAGGTTGAGCAGGCATGAACTCCAGCCAGTACACTTACGAGCCGGAAGAGATGGGTTGGGACAGCTTTATAGCGTCCAGATTGAAGCAGTTCTGTATGTCTGGGACACCATTTGGAAGGTTTGGATTGAAGTTGGTGATGGTGATGGTGTAGGAGCTTGAAGGATCAAGATTATCGGCAAAGTACATCGTCTGCCCTTCGGTCCACCAATTGTTCGTGGCATTATATAAACCATTATTGTGGTTCGTCAACTGTACAGTGAATCCAAAAGTGTTCGGTGCTTCTATGCCGATTACCTGCACGACCGATGAACCTGGGGAACACTTGGTGAACATGCAAGACAGCTGACGGCAGTGACGAACCATTGAATGTCAATGATGCAGAAGTGCCTGGATGATAGACACACGTGGAAGTGTGACTTCCGTTGATGTCCTGAGGAGAAGCGGTCGAAACCCAGTCAGCCGGAGGCGAATAGCTCCATCGAGGATCGGTATCGTCGATGACCACGGGTGTGGATGAAATGGACTGCCCAGAGGAAGCCGTAGCACCTAATGTTACGATACCACCGTAGAACTCCAGTGAACCTTGATTATGCGGTATTGTCGCGTTGAATTCGGCTGTATGCGTGCCGTACGGCAAACCATCGGCGATCAGCAGGGTTTGCGGCCCATGATTCGGATCATGCGAGAAGCCACTGCATGCCGCATCCGACCCCAGGCCCAAGTTGTATACGGCATGTCCATCAACCGAGAAACTGTATCCAGCGCCACCAAGGGCGCTTAGGCAAAGGTAGAGTGCGGTTCCTGCCAGTGTCAGACGGAGAAATTCAGAGGGAGCTCTCGAACGCACCTTCCCATTCTAGCCAGAAACCAGCCTCATCCAGCTGCGTTCTTCGAAATGGCTGTCCGATTCCCGTTCCTTGCGACCATACCGTGCTTTCTGTATACGAAGAATTCCACCCCTAACATTTATTAGCCCGACAGTCCCAAAGAGTAGGTCAGGATTACGCACTTGCGCAACGTCACTGTCACGGAGAGGCGTGTACCTGAAGGAAGGTTGTATCAGCGAAGCAGACATGGATATCTTTGCATAACACTCACATCCATGTTGCGCTCTCTTCTCCTAACGTTAAGTTGAACGGCAATGTTATGGACGTCGAAGTCATTTGGTACGGGGAAGAAACTGAAAGGAAGCTAGGCATGCAACCATCTGGCAAGGGATATAAGAGAGGGAGACACCGAGTGGTGCCATGGTTATGAGCACGCGTGTCAGGTCGTTCGTGACTTATTCAACAGTGCTGGGCCAACGATCATGTCAAATGAAATGGGTGCAGTGCCGGATGGAATGGTACCAGTGCTCTAAAACTCTGCGCAGTCGGGCATCGCCGTTGGTGCAGATACAACAGGTCGTAAGCCATGGCCGTGTCGATCACCGTTTCAGAGATGGTGGTGGTTTCGGTTTATGTGTGAGGGCAGAGCAGCATAGCTTTGCGGGGTTATGAGGAAAGACATTTCGGACCCTATATGTCACAAAACCTATTGCGGCGTGGACATGATCCAGGTATTGACATATGATGGTATGTGCACGAGAGAACTTGTCTATTCTGCGAAATCGAATCTTGGTGCGACTCTTGCTCCAAACATATCTTAATGGAATCTGTCGGGCCGATAGTCGCCGGGCTAGGATCGGTGCCGGTATCTCGGCCGATGCACCCTCCGTATATGCACATGGCTGGCATACACTTTGACCTGGTAAACTGCACTTTAGCCGACGACTTGTTCACTTCTTGACGCCCTGAGCTGGGAAGCTGAAGAGCTCGAGTCTCTGAATTTCACTCTGCAACTGATCGAGTCACCCACGCAAGCTCTAATCTGAACCTGGCCCTATATTGCCTTTGAACGCTTCTATCCTCGATTCTTCTCATGGCTCAACCACCCTCCACTCTCTTTTTCGATTGCGTCGTCGTCGGTAGCGGTAATGCGGGCTTCTGCGCTGTACACTCCGCTGTGGAAAACGGTTGCTCGAGGGTCCTAATAGCTGATACATGCCCTGAATCATGGGCAGGAGGCAACAGCTACTTCACTGCCGGAGCGATGCGCACCGTTCACGGCGGACTGCAGGACCTGCTTCCTCTTGTTAACAACGTGCCTCCAGAAATGAGGGACAAGATCGATCTTGATCCCTACACTTCGGCCAACTACACGAACGATATCATGCGCCTGGGACAGAACAGGTCAGACCCCGCGCTCGTTAAAGCTCTCGTGGACGACTCTAGAGACGTCATCGGCTGGCTGAAGGAACACGTTGGCGTGAGGTTTATGCTGTCCTTCCATCGACAGGCATACGCCGTGAATGGGAGGCAACGGTTTTGGGGCGGTCTGCATCTGAGCACGGAGGACGGCGGCAAAGGGCTGATCGAGGACCATCGGAGGAAGGCCGGGGAAGAAGGTGTCGAAATCTGGTTTGACAGTCCTGCAATCCGTCTCATCGTCGAAGATGGCGCAGTGAAAGGGGTCGTCATATCCTGTGCAGGCGTCGAAACTCCCATTCGCGCCACAGGTGTTGTCCTAGCTTCAGGTGGGTTTGAAGCCAACCCCACCCTGCGAGAAAAATACCTCGGCGCGGAATGGAAGGAAGCGCGGGTAAGGGGAACGCCGTACAATCAAGGTGACGGGATCCTCCTCGCCTCGGCTGCTAACGCGGCGCACTACGGCGACTGGGCAGGATGTCACAGCACGTGCTGGGACGCCGCTGCTCCCCGAGACAGGGGTGACCAGGTCCTCTCGAATCAATTCACCAAGTCGGGCTATCCTCTCGGGCTGATGGTGAACGCCGATGGGAAGCGGTTTGTAGACGAAGGCGAAGACATGCGAAACTACACCTATGCCCGGTTTGGGAGGAAGATCCTCGAGCAGCCGGGGGGTATCGCTTGGCAAGTGTATGATGCTAAGGTCGTCCCCCTGTTAAGGAAAGAAGAGTACGCAGACGAGGTTGTGCGCAAGATCCGGGCTGAGACGCTCGACTCGCTCGCGGATGAACTCGTTCAAGACGGCCTGCTAGACCGGGGCGCTTTCCTGCACACGATAGAGGAGTACAACGCCGCCCTGGAGAACGTCCCTAACCCTCCAGGGTTTAATCCGGCGATCAAAGACGGCCTCTCGACCCAATCTGAACACGGAGGGCTCCAACTCCCCAAGACGAACTGGGCACAGACGGTCGACAAGCCCGGGTTCGTCGCAGTCAAGGTCTCCTGCGGGATCACATTCACGTTTGGAGGGTTGAGGGTGGACCCGAAAACGGCGGGGGTCTTAGACGAGCAGGGGAAGAGGGTGGAGGGGTTGTTCTGTACGGGTGAGATGGTTGGAGGGTTGTTTTATTCGAATTATCCGGGCGGGAGCGGGTATGTGGGATTGGCTTCTCGTGGTCGGTGCTGTTGATCGCAGGTTTTAGGTTGACCGCCGGTGCCGTATTTGGACGAAAGGCAGGAAGGGAAATTGGAAAGTCGGTCACCAAAGAGCATTCACAGTCTCAATAACCGGGCGAGATCGACACAAATGGAATAGATGGCACAAACGCGGAGTTCATACTACGAACTACAGAGTACAAGGAATCACAGATCAAACGCAGAAACACGAACATGGAACCATTTTGCCGCAGTATTTTCCTCTTCACTCGGCCCAGACGGGTTCGCCCTGCCATTTAGCCTTAGGTTGGTAGGTATTCTCGAGCTTCATACGCTCCCTGACCGAGACGTGGACGGTCGCCTTCGGCGGGAGAGTTGGGACCGAGCGCGCTTTCCCGAGATTGGGGCTGAAGAAACGTCAGTGACGGTCGCATCAAAGGTTGAGGACATACACATGAGTATACGTGATGGATCCGTTCGGCCCGTGATGCATATAGCTGAAGGGAATAAGCTCTAGGAACCACCAGGAGGGCGAGATAAGGAGCTGATCGGTGATCTTGGCCTTGACGTCGCCGTCGTAGCGCTTGTCGAGGTTGCGGATGCAATGGATGGGCAGGATAGGACGCTCCTCATGTGCAGCTTTGCCGTTTGTCACTCGGCCGCCCTCGGGCCGCTCGGGAAGCACAAAATCAGCTTTCTTGACCGCGTCTAGATCAAACTCAAGACCCGTATCGGTCAGTACTACGACTCCGTTAGCATGTGCGAGCGAGCGTATCAACAGCATATAGGTACCAATCTCGCGAAGCATCCATGCCATAGGGATCCGAGCAGGATCATACAGCTCCTCATTGGAGAAGTTCCCACCGCCGATCTCACCATGCCCACCAGAGAACCACACTTCCTGCATGTCGGTATCTTCCAGCCCGGCTACGGCATCAGCCTCTGCCGCGGCCTTGGAAAGCTGGGACAAGTTCAAATTGGCATGATAGTGGTTCGCCTTGAACTTTACGCGGCGCTCGTCCAGTGAAAGCGCATGCTATACGCTCATTGTAAGCCATGGATAGAGGTGCGAGACTGGGAACACACCCTGAAAATGCGAATATGGTTGCCCGAGGCGGTGAAGGGGAAACTGACGTTCCTAAAAATACCAACCGACTCGACCGTCTCCCTAAACACGATCAGCCCAGCCCAGTTCTTTCCTCCGGAAAAACGATTACCAAACACCAACAAAGTCGATAGAGACGGTGTTCGAGAACGTGCCCTTGAACGAGGTGCTCGCCTCCCACCCCGCCTTGTCTGTACGCATATACATCGAGTAGGCAAACGGAACCTGCTCGTCGTTCCCCCGTGGCAATAGGCCAACTTTATGTAGCATGCCTGCGAGCGCACGGGCGGTATAGGCGCCGCGAGAGAAGCCTTATTGCGGATCGAATGAGTCGGTCATGCATACATCTGAGAAACGACCTACCAAACAGGTAGATCCGGTCGCCGGGAACCCAGTTCTGCATTAGGAACGTGTAGCCACCCATGATCTACCTGGTGTTAGCAGGGCTATTGAAAACCGAATAGTGCGCATACATGATACTTGATATCCCTGGGCGAGGGTCAGCGTTTCCCATATTCGATGACGGTGACTTACCAGCCAACACCGTACGCTGCCATCTTTGCCAACCCAGAGAACAAGCCCGCCTTGACGGCCGTCCCCACTCCCGTCTACGCAATCAGCGTCAGTTCCACCCCTTGCAACTCTTGGTCCAGCAGGACATACCTGATAATACACCATCTGGTTCCTATAGTCATCTTTTTTCAGGAACGAGACGAGCTTGACGATGTTCGTGTTGGTCGTATCGAACAGGTCGCCAGTTCCGTCAAAGCACAGTACGAGCTTGCGACCCGAGGAGGGGGGAAGGCTTTGGTCGTTGAGCGTTGTCGACCCGGATGAAGAGGTGGGGAGGACCATAGTGAGATGTTATGAGAGAGCAGGGCGATGCCAGGGATGAAAGGGAGGGCCGGTCTTTAACCTCTCTGCCTTGCACCGATCAGCGAGCGAACGTAGATTTTCACGCGGGCCAAGTTCGAGAAATGACGTGGTGTTGCCCGATGTAACTGGCGCTACTGTGTGACTGATGGCCGAGACATTCCACCTGCTGGCAAGAGAACACGGGTCTCAGTTCACTTGGCTCAACCTCCCTCCCGATCTATAGCGTAAAGAGTCATGTGCCGCACTAAGAAGGTGAACGCAGCTCGCTGGGCCGGATGGGCACCTTCCACTCTGAGCCAGCCTCTCACAGAAGTACGGGCGTTATTCGCGACGCAAAGCATATGCTGAGCGGGATAGTCAACGGGCGGGGCCGAAGACCCTCAACGCCGTAATTGTTCGGCGAACCCTGGTTGTTGGATGGCTCGGAGGTTCCGTGCGTATGGACCGTCGGAGGAAAGTAGCTTCCGGTTGCATGTGCTAGAAGTCGTGGGAAACGTTCCTTCTGAGTGAGGTTATGGTCTGAATTTCCAAATCCGGTTGGGTCTCAAGTGAAATGCAAGGTTTAGGCTAGTCTCCCGCTAGCACTAGTCCTACCTGTTGGCTGGTGAGTTCATTCATGTTGGAAGAACGTAGGAGATCGCCTTCATCTTTGACGAATTAATCTTGCTCTTCGCTTGCGAAAGTCCATTTGTAAGAGGTCCGGGGCCGGCACTTTAGTAATAAACGCCTATATATGTTCGCTCCCAGGATCGAAAGGCAAGCTTGCTTTAACTTGTGGAGACAGCACAACATGTCGGTCAAGTTCTCTGAGCCGCCAAACCACTGGGCGCCATCCCCGTTTCGCACAATGCCATCGCTCAGATCACCAATCCGGTCTGTCAGTCAAGAGCCCCGTAAGCACCAACCCGTTCAACCCGGCCTGTGAGGGTCCAGGAACGCGGCGGAATACGTCCAAGAATAGAACGGTGATGGATGGGCATCCTGTTACCGTCTTGTTGCTGGACTGTGCTGTACACAAGCTGTATGAAGGTATGAATTATTACTTTACGAATGTATAATTCAGAGAAATAACCACTCAACTGGTGTTATAAGTAAGTGAACAACTCCGAATAGAAGTAACTTATAAATAGAATCCGCAGCCCTCTCCGCTCACGTCCTCCAGCAGCAGCAGCAGCAGCAGCATCATCATTCAACACGATGCCTCTCGACCTTGCGTCCAAGATGACAAAACGACATTGGAGACTGTTGCTCCTCTCCCTCATCCTCACCGGCGCTTTCCTCTTCTCACGCTCTTCATACCGTTCATTCACTCTATCGCCTCTTCCCATCAACGAATCTCTAAGTCCCATCAACTACGAGTTCACGGGAAACGTACCAGACCCGGTGCAGGTGGACGAACTGGACCCTCCCAGTCCACCGCTCACTTCACTGGGAGAAGAAGCAGATGCCTCATTCCACATCCTCACTCCCTCTGCTTATACCTTTCAGCTGACGCAGTTCATCTACCGCGCCTTCCCTCCCTCTCTCCACGCTGCCCTTCTAGCCGGTCTCAGCGCTACTCCCTCCTCTACCACCGACTCCCCTCCCCCAGCGATCCCAAAAAAGATCTGGCAAACCCACAGATCGCAGGAATCCGCACCGCTGGACACGACCCGCACGTGGTGGGAGACGAACCCAGAGCGTTCCGGCTGGAATAGGACGTTCCTGTCGGACGAAGGGGCGGACGAGTACGTGCGTTCGTACCTCGGCCCTCCAGGGGAAAGCGAGCTCGCATGGGTGTGGAATATACTGCCGAAAGGAGTGTTGAGGAGCGATATGCTCAGATACCTCGCGCTGCTCCTCGAGGGAGGGGTGTACAGCGACACGGATACCATCTGCCTGAAGCCTATTTCCCGGTGGGGCAGGGGGGCGCATCTATGGCCCGTCGAAGGAGGGGCAGAGATGTATGAGGGAGACGAGGAGGAGTCTGCTGCTGGCCTCCCGCCAAGAGGGGTTATCGTAGGTGTCGAAGCGGACGTAGGCACCAGACCAGACTGGCACGACTGGTGGCCCCGGCCTCTTCAAATCGTTCAATGGACACTCGCAGCCCCTCCACACCATCCGATCATGCTCGACGCGTTACGCCGGATCCACGCAGCGACGGCCTTCGCAGCGTCCTGGGTCGTACTCCAGAACGCTACCCATCCGGCCGGTAAGCCGCCCCACAACCGGCCCTGGGAACTCCGAGACGCGCGGGAAGAACATGGAGGGCCGATGAGCGTGATGGAGTGGACTGGGCCGGGGGTGTTCACGGATTCGGTCATGAGTTACTTGACGTGGGGCACGGGATGTGAGGGGCAGTGTGAGTCGGCGTTCGTTTGGCCTCTATTGAGAGGCGTGGAGAGGCCGGTGAGGTTGTTGGATGTCACTGTTTTGCCTGTTACTGGTGCGTTGCCCCCTCCTTCCTCCTTCCTTCCCCCCNCCCA